ATTCCTGTCCCTGCCGACAATTCCTGTCCCTGCCGACAATTCCTGTCCCCGAGCTCCTGTTCCCCCTTTTACAGCCGCTGTCCCCGCTCTTGTCCCTCCTGGCTGCTCACAGGGGTGGGACAGTCCCTGCTGTCCCCGGGGCCCTGCGGGGGCTCAGTTTCTGCTGGGGGGTCTCAGTTTTAGGGTGTCTCAGTGTGGGGTGCCCCTGGGGGGATCCCGCTCCCCGAGAGCACTGAGGGGCTCCCGGGGGTCCCTGAGGCCGGGGGGTCCCGGGGGGACCCGGGGTGACCCCCGTGCGTACCAGAGCCGATGAAGAAGCAGGTCTTGTGCATGCGGCCGATGAAGAGCTCGAGGCCGATGATGGCGTAGATGATGATGACGAAGAGCACGAGCAGCGCGATGTGCAGCAGCGGCACCATCGCCTTCATGATGGAGTTGAGCACGATGTGGAGGCCTGGGGGGGCACGGGGGGGGGTTGGCAGGAGGCCGGGGGGGACCCCAGACCCCCCCGCTCCCCCCGGGGTCTCACTGGGGACGCCGGAGACGAGGCGCAGCGGGCGCAGAACGCGGAAGGCGCGCAGGGCCTTGACGTCGAAGCCGCCCGGCTTCCCGCTCATGTGGTGAGCGTCGCCCGGCTTGTGGGACACCTGCTCCAGGATGACGCTGAACAGCCTGGGGGGACACGGGGGGCTCGCACGGCTCTGTGCCCCCTCCCCCAGCCGTCCCTGTCCCCGGAGAGCCCCTCACCCCACGATGACGATGACGAAGTCGAGCAGGTTCCAGCCGTTGCGGATGTAGGCGCTGGGGTGCAGCACCAGCCCGTAGGCGATGATCTTCAGGAAGGTCTCCACCGTGAAGATGATGAGGAACACGTACTCCACCTGCTCCTGGGGGGCGTGGTGGGCGGGGGTCAGCACCCCCTGCTCCAGGGGCACCCCCGGTGTCACCTTTTGGGGACCCCCTACCCCGACCCCTTCTCCTGGAGGGCACTTCAGGACACCTCCGTCCCCTCATCGCTCACGGTGTCCCTTCCCTGGGGATTGGGGACATTTGAGGGCCCTCACGGACCCCCCCAGCACCCCCTGGGAGCTTTTGGGGATTCCCCCCCAGCACCCCCTTCTCCTGAGGAACCAGACAGGGAGATTTGTCCCCTTTTGGGGACAAGACTCAGGGACAGGTGGGACCCCCCTGGCATCCCCTTCCTTTTGGGGCCGAGGGAACCCCTCAGCCCCTCCAGCCTTCCCCGGGCACAAAGGACGGGGACGTTTCGGGACCGCCCTCGGGGACGAGTGACCGCGGCATTCGGGGCCACCCCGACACCAGCCCCGAGTCCCCTTCCTTTGGGACAGACATTTGGGGTGTCCTGCCCCAGTGACAGGGGACGTTTGGGCCCCCCCAGCCCCTCCCCGTGTCCCCTTTGTGGGTGACTGGGGCGGCTCAGCCGGGATTAGGCCCCCCCGGCCCCCCCGGCGCCGGCAAAGCGGATTAAGGGCGGCCCGGGCGTGTGCGGGGGGACACGTGTGACACGGGGACCCCCCCGCGTGACGCCCCCGGCCCCAGCCCGGCCCCAGCTGGGACCAGTGGAGGCCCCACGGGCCCTGGCGGGGCGGGGGGCGCGGGGGGGTCCGGGGGGTCTCACCAGGTTGTGGTTGGAGGTGTTGGAGTCGTCCTCGGGGAAGGGGATGTAGACCCCCAGGGCCACGCAGTTGGCAAAGATGGTGGCGAGGATGAGGATGTCGAAGGGCCTGGGGGGAAGTGGGGGGCACCAGGTCTGGGGGGGGGCACCAGGTCTGGGGGGGGGCACCAGGTC